TCCAAATCATATATTTGATAGTGGAGTAGAGAGAGAGATGGAGGAGAAGCTTATGTTCATCATCTCCTTTTCCATTTCCACACACTTTGGAAAGTATCCACTAAGCAGGTAATATTTGTTTACTCATAACTCTGTTTGATTTGATTCCATACTTTTTGAAAATCTTACAAAATTTCCTACGTTTTGCATATACATTTTTCATTATGGATTGTAGCGGTATAAATGTTCAAGACAAAGCCATTGGATTGACTAGACTTTTTTATACAAATCAAAATAAAAATCGCCACCGCGCTTTATTGTTTTCAAAAGGAATGGGAAAAGAGCGAATAACCCAAAAAGAGGGGGAAAGATTCAAGATAAGGGGGTTGGTTATGCAATGGGAAGGTATTAGCACCCTAAACATCTACGGTACTCCACAGGAACCTCTTTGAAAAATCTGTATATTTTGGCTATAAAAATGTGTTGTATATAAAATGTATGGTGGAGGTGAGAAAAGAATTTTTTTAATGATTTTTGCACCCACCGCAGTTGCGAACCTTTAGTTCCTACGTACCACTATTCGTGCAATAGGGGATCATAGTACACGTAGTTCCTCTTTTAAAAATTTGAAACACAATTGTGTTGGTTGATTTTAAGAGATAAGACATCATCGTCATTGTCTGTGTGGAAAACATACTTACTACCCACAATCATGAGAATGGAGAATTTACATCATCTCAAAGTTGAGGATATGGCTTGGATTTTAAAATCAAAAATGCCTCACTCAACACCCAAGTGGAAAATATATCTCTTCACTACATATTATAGAAGTATAGTTGTTTGCATCACTACAAGGATTGACAAGAGTCTAATCTTTTGAGAAAGATTTTAAAATAAAAAGCCAAAGTGGCAAAAATGGTTTGAAATGAGATTGATTGACTTTTAGTCTTCTCACAAAAATTTCAAGGTATTATTAAATTGATTGAAGTTTATATATGAAAATGTTTTGAAAATGCATGGACCTAAGTCCATGTTTATTATGAAAGTGGTTTAAGTTTCAAAACAAGAAGAGTTTTCAAAAGGAGGGAGAAGATTTTTTAAATTAAAGAAGATGGGAGGAGATGAAGAGACTATCCTAAAGCATAAGGTAAAAGCTAGGGATAAGAAACATCTAACTAACAAGAAGCCAAAGTTTGACATTATGAGCCAATATAGAATTCTCATTCTTCAGATTGAAACCATGCAAGCAAAGATACTAGACCTCTTGAGAGAACCAAACTTCAAGTGTATTAAGTCTTCGCAAAAATTAGGCAGAGTAACGGATGTATACACGTAAATTCCAGATTACAAACAAAGTATGTAATCACAATAACCTGCACACAAAACAAACAAATAAACAACACAATGTCTTGAGGTAAACCTCAAGAACTCCAGACAAAATAATTAGATAAAGTCACAAAATCTCCAAGATAGGCCAAGGTCTCTAATCCTATGTCCAAGAAGTCCAATGCTCCATAATGCCAGGGATAGTAACCAAATAGTCCAAGTACCATTACATATTTTTTCAGGTTTATGTTGATTATTAAGTGTCTTCAAAAGAAAAAGAAAAGCTCAAGTGAGAAAAATAAAAATGCAATAAAAGTAAATGCTCAAGTGAGCAAAGATGAAAATAGCATGAAATGTAAATGCTAAAAGTAAATGGTACATAAAGCATAAAAAAATAAAAGCATAAAGTAAAGTCAATTGTTAGAAATTAGTGGTTAGTTGGATGACCATCTTGAAACTTACATTTGGAACTCATTAGAGGATTGGTAGAACCAAAGCCTCCAAACAACAAGTTGCATTTGCTTTTTGTCAAGTATATCATCTATTTTGGAATCCTCAAAAGTACCATTTAATGATCAACGATGTTTAAGTGATCCGCGTTGACCAAAGGTGTTGTAGATCCATTAGAGGATTGGTAGAACCAAAGCCTCCACACAATGAATCTCAAGGTTATTGGATCAAAGATATCAAATTAACATACTTGGGCTTGCAATCATAAGTTTGGGCCACAAACGATCATTTATTCAAATCGGGACAAAATTTAGCGCTATGTTAAGCAATTGTAAGTAGACTTATGTAGAAGACACACCTATTTTGAGGTTGGTCAATAGCAATCTATGCACTTCATGTTTGGATAAATGATATAGAGATCATCATCCCTTAATATGTAGCACAATTAAAAAAGAAAGGGATAAGATGAAGAGGGGGGGGGGGGGGGATGATAAGCTAATTTGGATTACCACCTCAAAATTCTTTCATCTTTAAATTCAACCACTCCTCTCGATGGATTAAAGCACTAAACATATCATTAATCTAAAGAACCAAAAATGAATTAAATAATTCTCTCTTTGGTAGATTTGAATTGATGAACATTTATCCAACTTCATCTACATCACAAAGTCCATTGAGTTTAAAGAGAAATTGGACATTTAAAATTGCAATCCAAACCAACAATCAAAAGGAGTGAGTAGAAAAAGCATTTTGGATCAAAGCTGCCCCAAAACAAGGAAAAAATGCATTATGTCCCTGTGTAAATCGATTTACACAATACAATTTTCAAAAATCTGCGTGAAATTTCTTTTGTGCAATCGATTGCATTGTTACTGCAATCGATTGCACGCTGTTACAAAAAGCAAAACAACATTTTAAAAGGCCAAATTCTTGTTCAAACTTTCCATCAAATACCTTATGATCATGGATCCAATTGAGAACGAAAATTCCATCAAATTATGAGAAAATAACACCATTGGAATCACAAAATAATGCTCAAAGAATTAAACCCAAAGATCAACAAGAGATCACATTGTGAAAGATGAATTATCCAACTTACCAAAGGTAGATCTACAGAATTATCAAAACAACTTCAAGAATTTGCTTCAATTTAACCACAAGAATCAATTGCTTAAGCTTGGATGTAGAGAATTGATAAAGAAAAAGTGTTTGGATGAAGGTTTAGCTCAAAGATTAGTAAGCTTCAATGCAAAGCTTACTACCTTTTTGAAAATGGAGCTTTGAGTGAATTTGGCAGATGGAGAGAATTGAGAGATTTTTAGCAAGGTGGATTTGGATATCAAAAGCTTGAAATTTGAATGAAATGAGGGCTCTATTTATAGAGTTTTAGGATTGGGATTAGTGGTAATTTGGTAATTGATTCTTGGAGCCAAAATTTGAATTAATGATAATTCTTTCAAATATTAGAGCCAAAATTTGAATTAATGATAATTCTTCTTAAAAATGAAAGATTGGACTAAAATTTGAATTAATGATACATCTTTCAAAAATGAAGAAAAATTGGAGCCAAAATTTGACAAGCTTAAAATGCTGATTTTTTTTTTCAAATTTTCACGCTGTCCAATCGATTGCACTATAGTGCAAATCGATTTGCACAGTGTATTTTTTTCAAAAATGGCGTAAAATGCACTATGTGCAATCGATTTCACTCTAAGAGCAATCGATTGCATCAGTGAAAAAATGAATTTTTGTTAATTTTTCTTTTGCAAATAGAGATTTTAGGAAAATAATACCAGGAATCCTTATATTGAAGGTACCTAAAACTCTTAAGATCATTTGCTCGTAAAGTAGTCCAGCAGTTAAGATATCTCTTCAATAAGTTTTGACTGGATACAATATTTACTTTTATGTCGGGTACAAAACCGAACTAAAAATTTAATCTTTTCTGACTTAATAAGTGTTTTTTATACTAGTGTCGCCTCCATTTAGCTATGTTTTTTGTCTATCACATTACAAAAATGAAGACTAAAAAATTATTAGCATGCAGTCAGAGAATTTACATAGTTGAGAGATACTTGAAATATGATAGCCATTGGAGGGAGTCTCCCTTCTCCTTTTTTCCTTCCCTTTTTCACGATCATTCTATGCTTTTGAGAGGAACGGAAAACTTTTGAGAATGCCGGTCATTAAAATAACAAGGCTTAAATAATATAAGCAATTACCATGAAGTTTCCTTTCATCAAACAAATAAGAAGTTACCAAAATAACCTTGCTATTAAACCATATTACCAATGTAGGCCCTTTTGCTCAAATAGTGGATTTTGGAACTTTCTAAGTATACTTTCGACTATATTAAATCTTGATTCAACTCAATTTATAGTATAAGATTAATGGGGATTTATCCAAATATCGATAATTTTGTCCTTCATTCTATAATTCTATAAATTTTGGTGATTAAACGGGTTTCAATTCAATTTTTCAGACGGGGATATTACAAATTATTTTTCTTGTAGGAGATCATCTACTTTCTTCCATAATTTCTTTTGCACTATTAATAAACTAAGGCGTAGGTATCATAATTGATTCAATGGTATACCATAGTTCTATAATATTTGTTTAAAGTTTTTCATGATATTATTTTCAAAAAATTTCTCCGTTAAATTTAATGTAAAAGTTATTGCAACAAGAATCAAGTAAATATATGGGTGAGAACGCGTTGCATTTGAAGCCATTGAGAACACACACCTTGAACTGATCAATAATGGCTTAAATTTTCTCATCCATTTGATTGAATGATCAATAAAATTCAAAGGCAAAATGTCCATTAATGTCAACGATTTATGATAAGTATTTTCACACGCATATCATAAATTGAGGAGATTGGTTTCAATGATTTTAAGACACTAAAATCACGGTAACTTTATGTAATTAATTGATCAATGGAAAATTTTCTCCTTTCATGGGAAATAAAAACAATGTTACATGTGATAGTTAAAATTGAGATAGATGTAAAATTACTAAATGCATTTATTTTTAATTTTTATTCATAGAAGCCAAAATGATAATAATATTCGTACATTAACTTGTACAGAGGTATAAGGCTACATTAGAGTGTATTTATTTGACAACAACATAGATGTCCTTGACAACTGCCACTTTTCAAACCTCGTCGTTCACATCTCTGTAAACAACTTTCATTAGATAATGGACATTCTGGTGTGTCAAAACAATCAGTCGTGATATCATCACTCATATCTTCTTGCACCACCTACAATCAATACAACATTTTTTATATTTAAAAGGTGTTGTGGCATCCATTATTTTTATAAAATAATAAAAAAATTATGTAGAGAATAAATAAGTATGTTACCTGGATGCAAAACTAAAGCAATACAAAGAATTGCAATGAAAAAATATACTCGGTTGATAGCCATGTTTTCTAAAAAGATGAATGGACAAACAACACCCGTAAAGTAATTATTTGTTGAATCTTTGACATATATTTATATAACAATTATGTTTGACTGTAAAAAATAAAATATATGAAACAAAGAATATATTTTTAAAAAATGAATTTACTTGATAATAAAGAATAAGTTTGTTTTGGTCTTGAAAAACAATTTTTTTCTTTGTATTTTTAAAATGATTTTAATAAAAATTTCATTTAAAATACTAAAAAAAATATTCAAAATGTTTTTTTAATTCAAATAATTAATTTTAATATTATATAACATAAATTTATATTATATAATAATACTAATAGATAAAATCACAAAACATCGTGTCTTAAAAACCATTTCTTCAAAAAGTTATTCAAAACAACTTCAAAATTAGTCTTGTAAAACAAATATTTTCTTTGTATTTTTAAAATGATTTTAATGAAAATTTTATTTAAAATACAAAACAATTTTTTTTGTAACATTCCATTTTGTCTAAGCATGTATGTGTATATATTTTGGAATGCTAAAAAAATTAGTAGCTAGTTACAACTAAAGGAATTATTTAGAATATGACTAGATGACAAATTTATAAATATCACTTAGTTGAAGAACACTTTAAACATTAAGCATCTTGCATGCAATTATACGACCTTGTTTAGTAAATGGACATTCCAAATCATATATTTGATAGTGGAGTAGAGAGAGAGATGGAGGAGAAGCTTATGTTCATCATCTCCTTTTCCATTTCCACACACTTTGGAAAGTATCCACTAAGCAGGTAATATTTGTTTACTCATAACTCTGTTTGAGTTGATTCTATACTTTTTGAAAATCTTACAAAATTTCCTACGTTTTGCATATACATTTTTCATTATGGATTGTAGCGGTATAAATGTTCAAGACAAAGCCATTGGATTGACTAGACTTTTTTATACAAATCAAAATAAAAATCGCCACCGCGCTTTATTGTTTTCAAAAGGAATGGGAAAAGAGCGAATAACCCAAAAAGAGGGGGAAAGATTCAAGATAAGGGGGTTGGTTATGCAATGGGAAGGTATTAGCACCCTAAACATCTACGGTACTCCACAGGAACCTCTTTGAAAAATCTGTATATTTTGGCTATAAAAATGTGTTGTATATAAAATGTATGGTGGAGGTGAGAAAAGAATTTTTTTAATGATTTTTGCACCCACCGCAGTTGCGAACCTTTAGTTCCTACGTACCACTATTCGTGCAATAGGGGATCAGAGTACACGTAGTTCCTCTTTTAAAAATTTGAAACACAATTGTGTTGGTTGATTTTAAGAGATAAGACATCATCGTCATTGTCTGTGTGGAAAACATACTTACTACCGACAATCATGAGAATGGAGAATTTACATCATCTCAAAGTTGAGGATATGGCTTGGATTTTAAAATCAACAATGCCTCACTCAACACCCAAGTGGAAAATATATCTCTTCACTACATATTATAGAAGTATAGTTGTTTGCATCACTACAAGGATTGACAAGAGTCTAATCTTTTGAGAAAGATTTTAAAATAAAAAGCCAAAGTGGCAAAAATGGTTTGAAATGAGATTGATTGACTTTTAGTCTTCTCACAAAAATTTCAAGGTATTATTAAATTGATTGAAGTTTGTTTATGAAAATGTTTTGAAAATGCATGGACCTAAGTCCATGTTTATTATGAAAGTGGTTTAAGTTTCAAAACAAGAAGAGTTTTCAAAAGGAGGGAGAAGATTTTTTAAATTAAAGAAGATGGGAGGAGATGAAGAGACTATCCTAAAGCATAAGGTAAAAGCTAGGGATAAGAAACATCTAACCAACAAGAAGCCAAAGTTTGACATTATGAGCCAATATAGAATTCTCATTCTTCAGATTGAAACCATGCAAGCAAAGATACTAGACCTCTTGAGAGAACCAAACTTCAAGTGTATTAAGTCTTCGTAAAAATTACGCAGAGTAACGGCTGTATACACGTAAATTCCAGATTACAAACAAAGTATGTAATTACAATAACCTGCACACAAAACAAACAAATAAACAAGACAATGTCTTGAGGTAAACCTCAAGAACTCCAGACAAAATAATTAGATAAAGTCACAAAATCTCCAAGATAGGCCAAGGTCTCTAATCCTATGTCCAAGAAGTCCAATGCTCCATAATGCCAAGGATAGTAACCAAATAGTCCAAGTACCATTAAATATTTTTTCAGGTTTATGTTGATTATTAAGTGTCTTCAAAAGAAAAAGAAAAGCTCAAGTGAGAAAAATAAAAATGCAATAAAAGTAAATGCTCAAGTGAGCATAGATGAAAATAGCATGAAATGTAAATGCTAAAAGTAAATGGTACATAAAGCATAAAAAAATAAAAGCATAAAGTAAAGTCAATTGTTAGAAATTTGTGGTTAGTTGGATGACCATCTTGAAACTTGCATTTGGAACTCATTAGAGGATTGGTAGAACCAAAGCCTCCACACAACAAGTTGCATTTGCTTTTTGTCAAGTATATCATCTATTTTGGAATCCTCAAAAGTACCATTTAATGATCAACGATGTTTAAGTGATCCGCGTTGACCAAAGGTGTTGTAGATCCATTAGAGGATTGGTAGAACCAAAGCCTCCACACAATGAATCTCAAGGTTATTGGATCAAAGATATCAAATTAACATACTTGGGCTTGCAATCATAAGTTTGGGCCACAAACGATCATTTATTCAAATCGGGACAAAATTTAGCGTTATGTTAAGCAATTGTAAGTAGACTTATGTAGAAGTCACACCTATTTTGAGGTTGGTCAATAGCAATCTATGCACTTCATGTTTGGATAAATGATATAGAGATCATCATCCCTAAATATGTATCACAATTAAAAAAGAAAGGGATAAGATGAAGAGGGGGGGGGGGGGGGGGGGGGAATGATAAGCTAATTTGGATTACCACCTCAAAATTCTTTCATCTTTAAATTCAACCACTCCTCTCGATGGATTAAAGCACTAAACATATCATTAATCTAAAGAACCAAAAATGAATTAAATAATTCTCTCTTTGGTAGATTTGAATTGATGAACATTTATCCAACTTCATCTACATCACAAAGTCCATTGAGTTTAAAGAGAAATTGGACATTTAAAATTGCAATCCAAACCAACAATCAAAAGGAGTGAGTAGAAAAAGCATTTTGGATCAAAGCTGCCCCAAAACAAGGAAAAAAATGCATTATGTCCCTGTGTAAATCGATTTACACAATACAATTTTCAAAAATCTGCGTGAAATGTCTTTTGTGCAATCGATTGCATTGTTACTGCAATCGATTGCGCGCTGTTACAAACAGCAAAACAACATTTTAAAAGGCCAAATTCTTGTTCAAAATTTCCATCAAATACCTTATGATCATGGATCCAATTGAGAACGAAAATTCCATCAAATTATGAGAAAATAACACCATTGGAATCACAAAATAATGCTCAAAGAATTAAACCCAAAGATCAACAAGAGATCACATTGTGAAAGATGAATTATCCAACTTACCAAAGGTAGATCTACCGAATTATCAAAACAACTTCAAGAATTTGCTTCAATTTAACCACAAGAATCAATTGCTTAAGCTTGGATGTAGAGAATTGATAAAGAAAAAATGTTTGGATGAAGGTTTAGCTCAAAGATTAGTAAGCTTCAATGCAAAGCTTACTACCTTTTTGAAAATGGAGCTTTGGGTGAATTTGTTAGATGGAGAGAATTGAGAGATTTTTAGCAAGGTGGATTTGGATATCAAAAGCTTGAAATTTGAATGAAATGAGGGCTCTATTTATAGAGTTTTAGGATTGGGATTAGTGGTAATTTGGTAATTGATTCTTGGAGCCAAAATTTGAATTAATGATAATTCTTTCAAATATTAGAGCCAAAATTTGAATTAATGATAATTCTTCTTAAAAATGAAAGATTGGAACTAAAATTTGAATTAATGATACATCTTTCAAAAATGAAGAAAAATTGGAGCCAAAATTTGACAAGCTTAAAATGCTGATTTTTTTTTTCAAATTTTCACGCTGTCCAATCGATTGCACTATAGTGCAAATCGATTTGCACAGTGTATTTTTTTCAAAAATGGCGCAAAATGCACTATGTGCAATCGATTTCACTCTAAGAGCAATCGATTGCATCAGTGAAAAAATGAATTTTTGTTAATTTTTCTTTTGCAAATAGAGATTTTAGGAAAATAATACCAGGAATCCTTATATTGAAGGTACCTAAAACTCTTAAGATCATTTGCTCGTAAAGTAGTCCAGCAGTTAAGATATCTCTTCAATAAGTTTTGACTGGATACAATATTTACTTTTATGTCGGGTACAAAACCGAACTAAAAATTTAATCTTTTCTGACTTAATAAGTGTTTTTTATACTAGTGTCGCCTCCATTTAGCTATGTTTTTTGTCTATCACATTACAAAAATGAAGACTAAAAAATTATTAGCATGCAGTCAGAGAATTTACATAGTTGAGAGATACTTGAAATATGATAGCCATTGGAGGGAGTCTCCCTTCTCCTTTTTTCCTTCCCTTTTTCACGATCATTCTATGCTTTTGAGAGGAACGGAAAACTTTTGAGAATGCCGGTCATTAAAATAACAAGGCTTAAATAATATAAGCAATTACCATGAAGTTTCCTTTCATCAAACAAATAAGAAGTTACCAAAATAACCTTGCTATTAAACCATATTACCAATGTAGGCCCTTTTGCTCAAATAGTGGATTTTGGAACTTTCTAAGTATACTTTCGACTATATTAAATCTTGATTCAACTCAATTTATAGTATAAGATTAATGGGGATTTATCCAAATATCGATAATTTTGTCCTTCATTCTATAATTCTATAAATTTTGGTGAATAAACGGGTTTCAATTCAATTTTTCAGACAGGGATATTACAAATTATTTTTCTTGTAGGAGATCATCTACTTTCTTCCATAATTTCTTTTGCACTATTAATAAACTAAGGCGTAGGTATCTTAATTGATTCAATGGTATACCATAGTTCTATAATATTTGTTTAAAGTTTTTCATGATATTATTTTCAAAAAATTTCTCCGTTAAATTTAATGTAAAAGTTATTGCAACAAGAATCAAGTAAATATATGGGTGAGAACGCGTTGCATTTGAAGCCATTGAGAACACACACCTTGAACTGATCAATAATGGCTTAAATTTTCTCATCCATTTGATTGAATGATCAATAAAATTCAAAGGCAAAATGTCCATTAATGTCAACGATTTATGATAAGTATTTTCACACGCATATCATAAATTGAGGAGATTGGTTTCAATGATTTTAAGACACTAAAATCACGGTAACTTTATGTAATTAATTGATCAATGGAAAATTTTCTCCTTTCATGGGAAATAAAAACAATGTTACATGTGATAGTTAAAATTGAGATAGATGTAAAATTACTAAATGCATTTATTTTTAATTTTTATTCATAGAAGCCAAAATGATAATAATATTCGTACATTAACTTGTACAGAGGTATAAGGCTACATTAGAGTGTATTTATTTGACAACAACATAGATGTCCTTGACAACTGCCACTTTTCAAACCTCGTCGTTCACATCTCTGTAAACAACTTTCATTAGATAATGGACATTCTGGTGTGTCAAAACAATCAGTCGTGATATCATCACTCATAATTTCTTCATATCTTCTTGCACCACCTACAATCAATAAAACATTTTTTATATTTAAAAGGTGTTGTGGCATCCATTATTTTTATAAAATAATAAAAAAATTATGTAGAGAATAAATAAGTATGTTACCTGGATGCAAAACTAAAGCAATACAAAGAATTGCAATGAAAAAATATACTCGGTTGATAGCCATGTTTTCTAAAAAGATGAATGGACAAACAACACCCGTAAAGTAATTATTTGTTGAATCTTTGACATATATTTATATAACAATTATGTTTGACTGTAAAAAATAAAATATATGAAGCAAAGAATATATTTTTAAAAAATGAATTTACTTGATAATAAAGAATAAGTTTGTTTTGGTCTTGAAAAACAACTTTTTTTCTTTGTATTTTTAAAATGATTTTAATAAAAATTTCATTTAAAATACTAAAAAAAATATTTAAAATGTTTTTTTAATTCAAATAATTAATTTTAATATTATATAACATAAATTTATATTATATAATAATACTAATAGATAAAATCACAAAACATTGTGTCTTAAAAACCATTTCTTCAAAAAGTTATTCAAAACAACTTCAAAATTAGTCTTGTAAAACAAATATTTTCTTTGTATTTTTAAAATGATTTTAATGAAAATTTTATTTAAAATACAAAACAATTTTTTTTGTAACATTCCATTTTGTCTAAGCATGTATGTGTATATATTTTGGAATGCTAAAAAAATTAGTAGCTAGTTAGAACTAAAGGAATTATTTAGAATATGACTAGATGACAAATTTATAAATATCACTTAGTTGAAGAACACTTTAAACATTAAGCATCTTGCATGCAATTATACGGCCTTGTTTAGTAAATGGACATTCCAAATCATATATTTGATAGTGGAGTAGAGAGAGAGAGATGGAGGAGAAGCTTATGTTCATCATCTCCTTTTCCATTTCCACACACTTTGGAAAGTATCCACTAAGCAGGTAATATTTGTTTACTCATAACTCTGTTTGAGTTGATTCCATACTTTTTGAAAATCTTACAAAATTTCCTACGTTTTGCATATACATTTTTCATTATGGATTGTAGCGGTATAAATGTTCAAGACAAAGCCATTGGATTGACTAGACTTTTTTATACAAATCAAAATAAAAATCGCCACCGCGCTTTATTGTTTTCAAAAGGAATGGGAAAAGAGCGAATAACCCAAAAAGAGGGGGAAAGATTCAAGATAAGGGGGTTGGTTATGCAATGGGAAGGTATTAGCACCCTAAACATCTACGGTACTCCACAAGAACCTCTTTGAAAAATCTGTATATTTTGGCTATAAAAATGTGTTGTATATAAAATGTATGGTGGAGGTGAGAAAAGAATTTTTTTAATGATTTTTGCACCCACCGCAGTTGCGAACCTTTAGTTCCTACGTACCACTATTCGTGCAATAGGGGATCAGAGTACACGTAGTTCCTCTTTTAAAAATTTGAAACACAATTGTGTTGGTTGATTTTAAGAGATAAGACATCATCGTCATTGTCTGTGTGGAAAACATACTTACTACCCACAATCATGAGAATGGAGAATTTACATCATCTCAAAGTTGAGGATATGGCTTGGATTTTAAAATCAACAATGCCTCACTCAACACCCAAGTGGAAAATATATCTCTTCACTACATATTATAGAAGTTTAGTTGTTTGCATCACTACAAGGATTGACAAGAGTCTAATCTTTTGAGAAAGATTTTAAAATAAAAAGCCAAAGTGGCAAAAATGGTTTGAAATGAGATTGATTGACTTTTAGTCTTCTCACAAAAATTTCAAGGTATTATTAAATTGATTGAAGTTTGTTTATGAAAATGTTTTGAAAATGCATGGACCTAAGTCCATGTTTATTATGAAAGTGGTTTAAGTTTCAAAACAAGAAGAGTTTTCAAAAGGAGGGAGAAGATTTTTTAAATTAAAGAAGATGGGAGGAGATGAAGAGACTATCCTAAAGCATAAGGTAAAAGCTAGGGATAAGAAACATCTAACCAACAAGAAGCCAAAGTTTGACATTATGAGCCAATATAGAATTCCCATTCTTCAGATTGAAACCATGCAAGCAAAGATACTAGACCTCTTGAGAGAACCAAACTTCAAGTGTATTAAGTCTTCGCAAAAATTAGGCAGAGTAACGGATGTATACACGTAAATTCCAGATTACAAACAAAGAATGTAATCACAATAACCTGCACACAAAACAAACAAATAAACAACACAATGTCTTGAGGTAAACCTCAAGAACTCCAGACAAAATAATTAGATAAAGTCACAAAATCTCCAAGATAGGCCAAGGTCTCTAATCCTATGTCCAAGAAGTCCAATGCTCCATAATGCCAAGGATAGTAACCAAATAGTCCAAGTACCATTAAATATTTTTTCAGGTTTATGTTGATTATTAAGTGTCTTCAAAAGAAAAAGAAAAGCTCAAGTGAGAAAAATAAAAATGCAATAAAAGTAAATGCTCAAGTGAGCAAAGATGAAAATAGCATGAAATGTAAATGCTAAAAGTAAATGGTACATAAAGCATAAAAAAATAAAAGCATAAAGTAAAGTCAATTGTTAGAAATTTGTGGTTAGTTGGATGACCATCTTGAAACTTGCATTTGGAACTCATTAGAGGATTGGTAGAACCAAAGCCTCCACACAACAAGTTGCATTTGCTTTTTGTCAAGTATATCATCTATTTTGGAATCCTCAAAAGTACCATTTAATGATCAACGATGTTTAAGTGATCCGCGTTGACCAAAGGTGTTGTAGATCCATTAGAGGATTGGTAGAACCAAAGCCTCCACAAAATGAATCTCAAGGTTATTGGATCAAAGATATCAAATTAACATACTTGGGCTTGCAATCATAAGTTTGGGCCACAAACGATCATTTATTCAAATCGGGACAAAATTTAGCGCTATGTTAAGCAATTGTAAGTAGACTTATGTAGAAGTCACACCTATTTTGAGGTTGGTCAATAGCAATCTATGCACTTCATGTTTGGATAAATGATATAGAGATCATCATCCCTTAATATGTAGCACAATTAAAAAAGAAAGGGATAAGATGAAGAGGGGGGGGGGGGGGGGGGGGAATGATAAGCTAATTTGGATTACCACCTCAAAATTCTTTCATCTTTAAATTCAACCACTCCTCTCGATGGATTAAAGCACTAAACATATCATTAATCTAAAGAACCAAAAATGAATTAAATAATTCTCTCTTTGGTAGATTTGAATTGATGAACATTTATCCAACTTCATCTACATCACAGAGTCCATTGAGTTTAAAGAGAAATTGGACATTTAAAATTGCAATCCAAACCAACAATCAAAAGGAGTGAGTAGAAAAAACATTTTGGATCAAAGCTGCCCCTATGTCCCTGTGTAAATCGATTTACACAATACAATTTTCAAAAATCTGCGTGAAATTTCTTTTGTGCAATCGATTGCATTGTTACTGCAATCGATTGCACGCTGTTACAAACAGCAAAACAACATTTTAAAAGGCCAAATTCTTGTTCAAACTTTCCATCAAATACCTTATGATCATGGATCCAATTGAGAACGAAAATTCCATCAAATTATGAGAAAATAACACCATTGGAATCACAAAATAATGCTCAAAGAATTAAACCCAAAGATCAACAAGAGATCACATTGTGAAAGATGAATTATCCAACTTACCAAAGGTAGATCTACAGAATTATCAAAACAACTTCAAGAATTTGCTTCAATTTAACCACAAGAATCAATTGCTTAAGCTTGGATGTAGAGAATTGATAAAGAAAAAGTGTTTGGATGAAGGTTTAGCTCAAAGATTAGTAAGCTTCAATGCAAAGCTTACTACCTTTTTGAAAATGGAGCTTTGAGTGAATTTGGTAGATGGAGAGAATTGAGAGATTTTTAGCAAGGTGGATTTGGATATCAAAAGCTTGAAATTTGAATGAAATGAGGGCTCTATTTATAGAGTTTTAGGATTGGGATTAGTGGTTATTTGGTAATTGATTCTTGGAGCCAAAATTTGAATTAATGATAATTCTTTCAAATATTAGAGCCAAAATTTGAATTAATGATAATTCTTCTTAAAAATGAAAGATTGGAACTAAAATTTGAATTAATGATACATCTTTCAAAAATGAAGAAAAATTGGAGCCAAAATTTGACAAGCTGAAAATGCTAATTTTTTTTTCAAATTTTCACGCTGTCCAATCGATTGCACTATAGTGCAAATCGATTTGCACAGTGTATTTTTTTCAAAAATGGCGCAAAATGCACTATGTGCAATCGATTTCACTCTAAGAGCAATCGATTGCATCAGTGAAAAAATGAATTTTTGTTAATTTTTCTTTTGCAAATAGAGATTTTAGGAAAATAATACCAGGAATCCTTATTTGTCAGATGCTTCAACTTGGTACCTACAAAACAAAAATATACAAATACGAAGACAAATATATTTTGTATTTTGATTAGAAGTTAGTCAACAACACATATACAAAATACACAACTAAGGTGCTTGGAGATTTCTCAAGAGAAAACTTAAAGATAAGAGATAGAAAAAGAGGAAGAATCAACCCTAATGTGATCTTGTTATGATCGAGTTGATATGATATGATAGAGGAATCTTAGGGGCAAAAATTGGGGTACAACAACTTCCCTTATTTAAGTGTCTTCTATCCGGATATACATAGGTTAAAAATCTTCGTGTCGACGCGATTGAAGAAACTTAAATGTAAAACAAGCCCTATTTTTTGCCCAAAGATGCCATGCAAATGCTTATGCATATGAATGCAGATGGACAAATCTAAAGAGACGCAAGACACTATTGTGGATACCAAAAAAATGAAGAAACAAAGGAGCAACCCCACTAGGAAAATAAATCACTGGTGGAACCAAAAGAATTGAATCAGAGAGGAAGATAACAAGCATCGATGTTCACTGCCGATGGCCTACAAACGTTCACTGAAGGTAGAAAGAGAAAATATATCATACCAACGTCGTTCACTGAGGATGAACTATCAATATTCACTAAAGATAGAAAAAAGATAACAAACACCGACATTCACTGCCGATGTACTACCAACATTCACTGAAGGTAGAAAGAGAAAATATCATATCACCGCCGTTCACTGACGATGAACTATCAATGTTCACTGAAGATAGCAAAA